ATATGTTGAAAGTGTTAAGGTCTTAGCTCTAGGTTTTTCGCAGGCACGGTTCTCAAAGCAGAAGTTCGTGTCACGTTTCCAATCAGTTCTCTGTCACGCAACACCCCAGTCATGCAAGCTGTCTTGTTTGAGGATCCAACCGATGCGAGGTTTCTTCAAGTGTGGCCTCTTTCACAGGTGAGAAGGAAATGCGTTTTGATTCGAATAACAACTTAGTATTTTAATAAAATTTTCTTTTTCTTGACTAGTTGGAGCAGAGGACATTTCACCGCCCTGTGCATTTGTTTTATAACAATGTGCGCTACGATGTTGACCAGGGAACTGTAAGCTTGTTAATGCTTGAAGCGGATTGGAAAGCTCTTCATGAAGAAACAGTTCTTATTTTGATAAGTTCTTCTGTCAACTGCACTTCACAAGCTGTAAAATTGAAACCTGAAACAAGAAGCTCCACGAAAACTTCTTGCTGTTTCAGGAATGAAACAGTCATGATGACAAGCAAAACGGATCACGAAATGGTAGAGTTAAGTCAAGCAAAAAGACGCATGCGCAAATCCCGTAGGTCGAAAAAGAACTTGTCCTGTGTCAGAATTAGCTGCGTCAGTGGTCACGTGGGCAACGGACTCCAAAAGTATGACAGCTGCTACCGTCTTGAGATCCTCTCCAGTCAAGATATTATCATTCAAAACCCTGACCACGTGCACAAGAGTACAGACTGCTTAGTGGCTGAAGAGAGGCAAAAGAAAGCGCCTTCGAGTCTCGTCCCATCAGGTATCGATTCTCCGTTTGATCAGTTAGAAGCTGAAGTTTCACCAGAGACAAAAAACTCTGATGTTGTCATTATTCATAATGATGGTCACGCAACCGAAGATGACAGTGAAAACGAGCTCCTATCGACAACCGTGGAGCGAGTGGATGACATTACACAATTCGGCCTGGGGTTACCTGATGTGACATTGGTGTCGCGAGAGGTTTTAAAAACAGACCAGCTTGAGGTGGGAAGATCTACTTTTTATTTATTTATTTTACTGATCTATTTACTATGTTTTCAACGAGCGAATTTCATGACATGAACAATTTCTAGCAGTTATTGGGGAGAAATTTCGGTTGGTCGGCCGGCTGGTTGGTCGATTCCTGTATACATCCGGAAATTTTCTTCACGTTGTAGTATTGAAACGCTGAAAATCGTATGACCATCGCGGGCTCAAAAGGTTTTTCCTCAGTGTCAGTGAAAGTGGAGAGTATTTATCACCACTTCGGTGAATATTTGTTAGTTATCGATGTGGGCTTATGGGCACTGATAGGTGGAATTTTCGAAAATATGCCTAACATGTTAGCCGGCTGTGCCAGAAGTTCGCCGTAACCATAATATCTTGTAATTCCATACTCCTCTACCCTTTGATTTCTTCTATAGCTAATTGTGGTGATAATCTTTCTTTTTGATATCGCTATACTTTTTAAACACAGCTATTGGCTTTGGAAGAACATGCCATGTGCTACAATGCAGACATTCTGATTCTCAGAACAGCGGACATAACAGGTCCTAAAGTAGAATATTACCCGACGGACTTGCCCACTGCAGTGGAAATCTCTACTGACTGTCAAGGGTAAATGCAATCTTCCCAAATCGAAAAGCTATCTGATAAAGGTTTCCTGTTGTGGGCCTGGAGATTCGTGCTGGGGCACGTTCCTTGGCCACTCCTATTTCTGTTCAGTTGGTCAGTCAGTCAGTCAGCCAGTCATTTAGTCAGTCAAGTACAAAGTCAGTCGGTCCGTCAGGAACACTGAAAGGGCATTGCCAGAGTTTAGCCAAGGGTTCCAATAATGTTTTTGAAAAGTGGCGACCGATGGTGTAATAGACCGCTGCACCCGATATGACAAAACACAAACACGATAGCGTACGCTAAACAGAGGCAGAAAGAACGCCGGTGGCTGGCTTTTATTGAAACCCCTTTTTTTAGTTGTGGGTGGAGGGATTTTGGTGATGCCACAATAAAACTTGCATGACTCCCATAAGGCTCCGTAATATTCTTTGGACCCTTCATGTGTAGTTAATAGGCCATTTTACAGTTGTGTACTTAGTTGCCAAGTCTTTGATTTGGAGTGAGGCTGAAGGTGACCTTGTTGCGATTGAAACCAGTATCTAGTTAGCATGATAACAAAGTAATTTGCATTTTAAAAGCAGCAAGGTTTGTATCATAACAAGGTCACCCTTAGCCTCATTCTTGTTCAAAGGCTTGGTAACCAAGCACACAACTGTAACATGGACTAATGGCAGTCAATTTTCTAGAGTCCCCCCTCCCCCTCTTTATATTCTGTTGGCGATAACTGATTCCCCCCTCAGTTCCCACTGAGAACTATGTGATCTCCCAAAAATCCCCCGCCCCCTACGGTAAGACGTAAACGATCATATTTTCCTTAACTTTAAGGAAACCCCTACGACTTCATTTCGCTGCACCCGTGGACGAGAGGACATCAAAAGTTCAGCTATTAAAGGATAAAAAGAGGCTCAGATGCCATTTTCCTAAGAGTGACCTGGGTGTGTATGGACCAGTTTGTATCAAGCGAATTCCGTACCTGGACTTTTCAAATCTTCCAATATGGACTTCAAGAGAAGATCTCAAGTATGGCTAGCAACTATATATGTATCCGTATACTTAACAGCTGCAGTTACTCTTTCAGTTCTATTGCCCACAGTCTTGTTAACGATATATTTCTTTCAAATTTACGTCAGGAAGGAAAACTATTCAAAAGAGATAACAAAAACCTTTGTTGGAGTAACTTGACTGCCCACTATAGACGCCCTACCTATCAAAGACCTCTTTTCAAATCATCTTCTCCATCAAATTTCGTCCTAAATATCTAAACATCCTTGTTGCCTGAATGTTGCAGGCCTCTCTTTCTGCAATGATTTATTTCATCGCAAGGATTTTAGGGGACCTCTTATCATCTCCAAACAAACTATGATTTTAAAATATCATAGTGAACAAATATTTTTGCTTAGAGGCCAGAATGTCCGTTTAAAGGTGAGGAACGAAAAGGAAGTTTTTTGCCGGTCATATTCAGCCGTTTACATCTTTTTTTTTCTTTTTTGTTGCAGTATCTTAATGGATTTTTATCCTATGGATGAGGACAGAGCGGCTCCACAAGACAGAAAACCCTTTGAAAATTTGCAAAATGCTTTGCAATGTGTAGTCAGGTCGTTTGTTGAATCTCCCCAGGTAATGAATAATACGAATTCCCTTTCGCTTCCCTGTTTTCTTGCTCATTTTCTTACATAAACGTTTTTTTTAACCTTTTTGTTATGTTGAGAAGTTCTCATTAATGTTACAAAACTGCCCTGCGCATATAACTGGAGGGTTTCAAAACTGAAATAAACAGGACAGTTTTGTTAAGCTTTCTGCTGAGATGAAAGCTCCGTGGAATCTATTACAATTAATGCTTAGTAAAGATCCAGTAACAATGATAGCTCAACAGTGTGCAACTGAGTTAATCTCTCGAAGTCTGGTCTAGGGAACCAGGGATCTAAAACCTGAACTTACCCAGGTTTTTGCATGAGTACACACAACACATTTATTCTCCCAAAATTCGTATATATCACAAATTACTTTTTTTTTTCCTATTGCTCATAAATTAAATAAGAACATTTTCCTAATTTTCGTGGTTTTTGAATACCACTGTTAACCAGCAATCATTCCTCCCGAAGCTCTGTGAATGCAAATAGGAAAAGCCATGTTGTCCATAATACCCTGACCTAAACTAATGACTTATTGGACAATAGTCGGATATGTGCGTGTGAAGGCCGACAATACACTACCAGAGAAAATAATGCCCCCATTATTTCCTCTTGTACACCTATCAAACGTGATTTCAAGTCTTTGCTTTGGTCTCAATCTGTAGGAAAATAATTGTTTCACGATTCACGAGCCACGTGATGCAGGAGAAGATTGTCCGCCAAACTTCACCATTGTCGTGCAAAACATTTACTGTCACCAACAGGTCCCACTGGCGAAAGTTCTCTTCTGTGACCACAGAGAGATACCCTTTCCCTTAGAGGGCAACGGAACTGCTACTACAGCTACTACTTTAAAATACAAAGAGCTTTTACAACAACTGATGGCGGGCAGAAAGGAAAGTCCCATGGTGCAGGTCACAAAAGAGGTAACAAACTGAAACAAATTAAGTGTGCCGTGGTTTCAACTCTGAATTTGAATAGCTGAAGGGAGAATAGCTGTTTTTTTTTTCTCGTTAGCATTTAACCCTTCGTGTCAAAAGTCTTGTGTTCGAACCTGGCCGAGTGTTATGCTACTGGGCAAGTAACGTAACTCTCTTAGTGCCTGCCCATCAGGATGGTTACCAAGCCGGAAAAATGTCAAGGAAATCTAAGCATATCTCCGGGTAACGACCCTAATTAAACTGTCATTCCATAATGAAAGCGTAGCAATACTCTAAGAAATCATTCATTTACAAAAATCGGGATAAGCCTCTGAAGCTACGCGAATTAAAGCATATCTTGCTGCCTTTCAACAAAGGTCATAGTATTGCTTAGCTTTATCCTCTAGTCTCCTCCGCCCCTGCACTTAGTATAACCTATGAAACGATATTTCCTCTTTTGTAGGGTCAAGTTCTATTGAAAAGACTACTGCGTTCTAATGCAAAACGCTTGAAGCAAACTGCCACACATGACCCAGTATGGATGGACTCATTCCTGCAGCTGAGATTCAGCAGCGATAATATTTGCTATGACATTCTGGAATGAATTCACAAGATTTATTTCTAAGTAAACATAGTTCAGACTTGATGGTTTTCAACAATTTGCGGACCAGTTGAAAACTTTGGTGACGCATTATTGCAATGAACTACTGCGAACTTGATATTTCTAAAATCATTTGTGCGATGGAAATGTCAGCATAATTAAAATTTGGCTGTTTTGAAACTTAACAACATAGTTGTTATTGACTTCTTTAATCATATAATTTTTTTAATGGAATGGTCTCAGTAAATAATTATTTATTGCTGGTTTGACTTTTAATACTGAATACTAAATTACTTGATCATGATCAAGTCTTGTCTTTCCACTTTTGAAATAAAATGTCCTTGGATTTGGGGTTATCACGTGCATTAGTTCTTGTCTGTAGCGATTTGTTCGACCGGGCGAACGGAAAATGTAAACATTGCGCCTTTCCAAGAGATTACTACCTACAATCATCTCATGGCTTTCCATAATTAAATAGTCATACCATAAATATGCGCATTCCGTACTCATTCCTTGCTTACGACTTTTGTGTTACAGAAAGCAAAGACAACACTTATTTTCCACATCTATTTGGTTTTTTTAGTATTTTTTAGCAAAATATTTTTGGCTATTATCTTACGAAATTTCCTTACATTCTGCAAAGGTACATTCCTCTCAAGTTTTACGTTTCCTCCATGATTTTGTCCACTTCTTCCCAATTAATGTCACTTCTGAGACTGCCACTACTCTCCGACATATTTCCCACGGCCTCGTCCACTTCGGCCTAGAATAACAATACCAATTAGACAAATAAGAACTGCTTAAAATTCAACTCAAGCTTTGACTCAATTTGTTTCTACTAAGCTCAGCGATTGGCTGAGACGAAACTCAGTCATCCTGTTTTCACGCGCTTGGAAAGGATTGATCCTCTGAGGACGAGACCAAATTTTAAATGGTTCTCTTGAACAGGCCTATAATTTTCATATAAAATCGCCTACTTTAAATAAACCAACTTCAACAGATTTCCACGCAATAAGGAAAGGAATAGCATTGTCGTTAATGGCCGATCATATTTCTGATCGTTCGGGTGATGGTTTTCTTTAAAATGATCGATTAAAAGAGACAGTGACTGATATTGTGACGATCAAAATGAGCAGAAGCCATCCCCAGCTTATCTTGTGGGCCAAGTAGACAAGTTACTAACTCCTCCAATTTCTAAGAATTGAAGACGTTTAACAACTATCTCACAACTTACCAAGAGCTGTGCAACATCCTCGGACGTGCGCATGCTCTCTCTAGTATTCCACGGGCTGACGTCATCATCAAATTCTGACAATGTTCTTCCGCCGGTGGGAACCGCAGGCTCAGTATTCCGAGGTGTGTCGATCTGATATTCACTACTTCGCCAGTTATCTAGAAAGGAGAGATGAATCAAAGGAAATATGAGGAATAAGCTACCAAACCGCGAGATAGATGTGTGCAGCCACGAAAATAATAAATGCACAGTCAAGTAATCTTCTTTCAAAGAAGAAGAGGACAACAAAGTTGGAATGACTCTACGTTATTTTTTCATTCACCATCTGGTACGGAAGTCTAAATTCTCAGTCTTTAAGGACTGATGAGTAACGAGTGGCTTCTGCACGGGATAGTCCAACAAAATTTGGAAGGCGAGGTGACTTCTTAGTTAGAGCACTCGACCCTGGATGTCAGTGCCCGTTCGAGTGGTGATTTCTTGAGCCGCAGAAACTCTCACAGTGCTGTTCTCCACCCACGGATGTAAATGGGTGTCAGTGAATTTTCAGGAAAACCTAATTAATGCTGGAAGTAGGGAGGGGAGAGGGAATGTCAACAATGATAGAAAAAAATCCCATCCAACAAGAGGATAGTAGTAGCAAAACTCCTGATCGTCACATGCAATGGGGGATAGGACAAGCTTAGGCGGTGTCAGCCACAACCTGGTGTGCGCGATGTCGCCTGAGAAAATATTGCATATTTACCTTTTTCGATGCCGGAATACCCTCGGGTCGGTCTTGCGAAATCACTCCTCTGAGGCTGAAAAAAAGAGAAACGAATTTTCTTTCCATTCTTCTTATGGACCTCATACTATCAAGTTATTTATTCCGAAAAAAAAGATCCCTTCAAAATCATTTGATTGTGTAGTTTGAACTGAGGTCATCGACAGTGACTGATGTTTCGACAACCTAAACAAAGTATTCATCAAAATCGACTCTGACCGCTGACACTATTGCGCGTGGGTTGATCAAGAAGTAATTTACCGAAAAAAGAATAAGTGTTTTCTTAATTAAAGTTTCGTCGTCCTTCCCCCACTCCGCTTTAAACTCCTGGATCCATCTCTAGGTCAGTTGTTATTATTGACAAAAGAACTTTCCGGGACAACTCTCACCCGGACATTCAAAACCACACGATCAACCGTTACTCCTATATTCAAATAATTCACATATTTTAATGTACCTTAGCATCAGCGCGCCAGTTAACATCGGACAACAACTCCCTCAGTTCATCATCACCTTCTAGCAAGCTTTCGATTCCCTCAAGCCTCTCGTGATCCATGGTGGAGCCATCATCTGGAATGTCTTCTATTAGACGATCTATCTCGGCTAACGTTCTAACCCCAGGGAGGAGAGGGTCAGTCTGGCGTGTCCTGGAGAAAGTTCTTCCCAAGTGATCTGTGCCTCGAGGCTGATGCGAAAAGCCATACCCACCTATCCCCTCAAGGGGAAGCTTACGCCTAGATGCTTCTCTAGCTTTAACCCTCTTCGGTTGATTCTTTGCGAAACTCCGATACGTTTGTATCGTCACAAATTCGGCGCCAGTCGGAGAATTCGAGCGCCAAAAATCGTCCTCAGCAGGTAGATTTTCTTTGACCAATCTACCACTTTTAACGTCAATACTTCCTTCTAGCAGATCCGAAAGGTTTTCCTGAACTGAAACAGATGGGCTGCTTGTCTGTAAAAAATCACGACGAGAAGTATTTTGAGATCTAACTGAAATCTGAGCTTTCCTCGAGAACTCTTCAGGATGCGGCGAATCAACGAGAGATTGTTTTTCCTGCACACGATTTTCTTTCTTGTTCACTGTTTTCTCCACGAAATCTTGTCGCACCCGTTTACCTCTAGACTTTGCTTTCGGTAAATTTTTGTATCGATCACTTGTCCGCTTCTTTTTCTCCGCAAGTGAAGTTGAGTAGCGCGTGTTCACGCTGCCTGCGTATCGAAGGTTTGGTTTGCGATCCGTCGGCTTGGGAACTGGCTCGGCTAGCATCTCAGAGAGAAGATTGGACGCCGATTCGATCCTTTGTTTTTTATACTGGTCTTCGTTTTTCCTGTGAATTAATTTTAAAATATGGGTGAGGGCGAAAACTTCTGGGCTGGTTCGTTCAAAATCCCCAGATTGATATGTTTGGGATGCTCCTCCAATTTTTTAACACAAAACCAAAAAAAAAAAAATGCAGTATAGTCTAAATAGGGTGAAGGCAACAGTTCAGATGCGATTACTGTTAGACGTCTTAGGAAAGGGTTCCAGGGGTTTCTGTCGAAGATTATAGCCAAAGATTAGTGACCAATTTGACCCTTTTTTTTTTTTTAAAGTATTTCATGAAAATTTTTCATCTTCTATATATTTAACTCCCCACCGACCCACCAGCAATCAGTTAAAAAAAAGAAAAAAAAAGGGCCTGAAAACCACACAACTTGAGTCCTAATGTACACTTCTATTGAAGAGGAAATCCAAAGGATGTGTAACAAATCGCTTTTAGAAAACCTGCCTTACAATCGTAACAAACAAACTTCATTCAAAACTTGACAGTTGTGAAATTCCACTTGTGCCACTTTCAAGGTTAATGTGAGACAAAGAGCCAAGAAGAATAAAAGACAATGAAGAGATTTCTTACCTGCGTTTCGCGCTTCTCTCCTTGTCCATCAACTTAATCTTTTTAAAACTTGTAGAGCCCTGGGAACGAGAAATATGCAAATATGGTTCAAATACTACAAGGTTTAATACTCGCACAGACCTTCAAGCCCAGTCTTTCTCGCAGCCGTTCTTTAGCGCGTTCTCTAGGGGAGCGTTGCGTGACATCTCAAGGAACGGCTGCGAGAGAGACTCGCATACACCACAGAGAAAAGTTAAAGTCTGCATTCAAGACTGATTAAGTTGGCTACCGGAACGTATCCGGTTTCGGCTTGTAAGGCTCGATAACCAGCTGCTGTTCAGGAAATTAGCCCGCGCTCATCCTGCCGACGACTTCTTTCTCGGGTCAAGTATCCCGAGAAAGGCCCCCATCCCCTGCATTTCGTCAGGCGACCTTAACAGTTTGTCGGTACCCATTTGTAACCCTGGGAGAGTATATGCACTGTTAGGGTAAAAAGTCTCGTATGAGACCACAAAACAAAAAGACCTAGGACCTTTCGATCCCGTGACCAGGATACTCAAGCACTTCATATTTGCAGTGTGACAGTAAAAATATGTAAAAAGATGTAGCCGGGGAAGGTCACCTCCAGAAAGATCCTCAATTGCTTTCGTTCGCCGTGTTCTCAACACAATAACAAGTCGTTTATAGGTACCTGAGTGGGAGACAAAAATGGTTGGTATTCCTGCGCTCTCAGCTCTTCCTGCCGACCTCTCCACTCCGCTTTTCTCTCTGAACGTTTTTGGTTCATCCATTCTTTCAGGTGTTGCCTGGCATCGGGGCTGGGGTCCCTGCTACAAGAGGTAACATTCATAACATTAGAAATAACAATAATAAAAATAATAATAATAATAATAATAATAATAATAACAATAGTAATAATAATAATAATAATAATAATTACAATAAGAACAAATAGTTACAATCTGGCTTGATTTCCTTAATATATTTCCAAGGATAGTTAAAGATTTTACAGACGCCGATGATTACAAATGATGAATACAGGCGAAATTTCTAAAGAAACATAATCCGTTACGCACATCCTGCAAAAAATCTCATGAACTTGATCACTGAACCTACCGACTTCGTGTTGTATCTTTAACTTGGAATACCTCTTTCAGTTTATCTTGTGATAATGTCAATGACTCCAGCTGAGACAACGGTCGGGCTTTTTCCTTCCTAAGAGTATCAAATAAAAACAGATACTTTTTTTCACGAGTCCATATGGACATACAGTAGAACCCCCACTGACTCGAACCAACCCCCCGCCCCAGAACGACATCCGCTTTCTCTTGATCCCGTTTTTTGGTGATTTACTATCAGCTGACTCGAACCCCCGCTGACTCGAATCATTTGTTTGTTTGCCTTGGGATTTAGAGTTAGCGGGGTTCTACTGTATCTCAATCTACAAGGAGGTGCATCGTAGAAAGAAAGGAAAACCGCTAATCAGTTCATTGGAGTAAAAAAAAGTATAACTGACTCGTACCTAGAGTTAAGTAAACTTTCGCTACATTTACCTCGTTTCATCAGGTGGCGTGGATGAAGGTACTCCACTCTTTTCGACGGATGCTCCTTCCTTAGGTTGAAAATTCTGCTCAAGTTTGGATTCATCATCCACTTCTCGATTTGAAGCGATTTCTTCACTTTCACCAGAAGCAACTATCAAATCTTCGCCTTGTTCCTCCTGACGTAAGCCTTCCTGGTCATCCTGTTCATCTCCTCCACTGCTAAGTTTTTCCTCAATGTCTTCTTTTTCATCCTTAATATCAGCTTCGGAAGCTACATCCTCGGTCTTATCTACAGGGTCTGCATGGACATCAATGCTGTCTTCCACATCTTATCGATACACAAACAAGCATATAAACGTCAATAATAACCACATAAGACGGCAGCCTTGTAATGAACCGGAGACGTTCTAAGAAAATTCGCTAGGAAAAAGAAATATTTACGACAAAAAACTTATACATTTTTTTTACATACAATGTCAGAAAAGACTTTCAAAATATGGCTCAATCTCGAGGAAATCAATTAAACGAGTGATCAATCAGTAATAAATAAATCCAATTTTTCTGTTCGTAGGCAAGGCCTATGATAGTGTACCTTCAGAATGTGACGCCATTGTAGTTGGTGGTTTACCAACCGCAGCATTTATTTTCCTTCTCCAAGGAGCAGTGTCGCCCCATCTCCGAGGCTTTTCCCTACGCGAACCAACGGATCCTCTTGAAGACATCACTTCAGCAGAAGATGCTCTTGACGATGGATTAAGTACTTCATCAATACTTTGAATAGCAGAGAGAAGCTAAAACAAACAAACAAACGAAAACTTGGTCTTATATATAGGTTTGGCATCCAAGGTAAAGTCGTGGAAGGTAAAGTAAAATACGATTAACAGCATAAACTAAAACCTCGAGATTTACCTTAAAAACAAACAAACAAACAAACAAACAAACAAACAAACAACAACAACAACAACAACAACAACAATGACAAAAATTATTTGACGTTTCAGTCCTCCCGTTATTTTGAAAATCCGAACTTTGCCTGCCTATTTAACTAAAGATACATAAAAAAATTAGAATTATTCGTCAACTAGGAAGGCACTTAAAGCGGGGAACTCCTGTCGAGGATACTCTCGGAAGGAAGCTGTCTCGCCTCAAGTTCAGTTCGCATCCTTAGGAGAAGTCTCTTACTTTTAAAAGAAGCCGAGCGAGTACTTCCCCCATTTCAACAGAGTTCGCTCTTGGTAATTCAACTCTAAAAACTCGACAACGCATCACTCTTGGATATATCCTAGTCATATAACGGTACAGAAAACAACGATAAGCTGGTTGGGGATGGGTAAAGTCATTTTTAAGGCCTCTGTTACGAAAATGAATATCCCTGACATAACTTGAAAAAAAAATTAGACACAAAAAATTTTGATGAATGATCTGGCAAGTATCAGTTCACTAATCTTTTTAAATGTATATTTGACAGACCAACCCGTTTCCCATTCAGAGTTCTTAAAACAATGGCAAATCTTACTACGCGCGAGCTTTTGAACTCTCTATCCATGTTCTGTGTGATTTGATCCATTGCTTCAATCCTCTCACTCATTTCCTTCATTCTCTCGTTAAGGACTTGTGTAGACACTGCTCTCGCACTTGACCGAGAGGCTGCTGGAAAGGGTGACGGGTAGAATCTGAAATTGAGAAGAAAAAATTAATCTTCACTATGCAAAATTGCTTCCGGGCAATACCCTGGTAGTCGATAGCTTATTATACTGTACAAGGTGACTCTAACTATCCAGTCAGGGAATAAGACACTGTTAAGTAATTCAAATGGAAGTTTCAATGAGTGGCAAAAGTTTGGCAAGTGCTTATACTTTTTGACTTCTTTTTTTTTTACTCTCCCCCACTTCGATGTTGCCTGGTGTTAACAAAATGTACAATATTTTCCCGAACTTTCAAGTAACTTATCAGAGATGAATAATAAAATTTGTTTGTTATGTTGAGATGGAGGCTTGTCTACTACTTTTGCCACTCGTTACAGTCGTATCGAAAGTTCGAAACGGGGATGAAAATTCCAAAAGACAGGTACAAGCAGGAAGTTCCCATTAGTGAGCCCTTGACCTCGCTTCAATAGTCTACAAGCTCTAGATCGCACGTAACTACATATCCGTGGCCTCTATGATAACAAAAATATTGTCGCCAAGTTGAAAAGGCATTTGACCCTCAGCTCGCCATGCGAAAATGAGTGTTCAACATGCTTCAAGTCGGGTAAAAGTTAAAAACTAAAAAAAAAAGAAAAAACAGCCAAAGTCGGTCATTTTTTGTTTCTTTGTTTGTCATGACGTGCCAACTACTTTTGCCGTTCATTGTATCTAACAGTACCTTCATTTGCAACTGTTTCGTTGAAGAAAAGGGGTAAGTTTCTTAAGAAAATGTGGTACTACGTTGGTGAAGGAGTATAACAAGATAGTTTCGTTTAATCAACCGAGTTGATAGTGTAAATTGGCCACCGTAAAGAGTTTCAAAGCTGACGATTCGAGCGTTAGCCCTTCGTTAGAGCGCACTTCAACAATCGCGTTGACAAATGGTAACGCTCAAAACATCAGCTTTGAAACTCTTTAAGGTGGCCAATTTACATTATCAACTCAGTTGATTAAACCAAATCATCTTGTTTTGTTGAAGATTGTTCTAACTTTTTTTTCCTGCGGATAACACCCTGTTAGGTGACCATACAAACGAAAGCTTCTGAGTAGTACTTTCTTATGTTGTATCGTATCATGCCACACGATGTTGTCCTAAATTTAAAGTCTGTCGATTAAATCCTGGGTCCAGTTGTCCCTAAGCCGGAGAACGTTATCCAACGGATAAATTGATATCCCGTGGGTACGCGTTAACTACGCCTACTGCCCTATCCACCCATGGGGATTTATCCAGTAACAGCGAACAGCTAAGCCGTAGTATATTGCGCAGTATTTCCATACGACTGACCTTTGCACAGGATCGTCCGTAGAGTCCATTATTTCTACTGTAAGCTTATCAGGTCCCTCTGTATACTTCACGTTCTCTTGTTTATCTTTATACTCCTCTTCTTCCGATTGGTAGCTTTGATTTTCTGATGATACTTGACAAAAGAGGAAAACGACACAAAGGAAGTTAATTAAGAACATTTATTAGTATCACAATGCACATTCTGTTCCACGCGTAATGGCGCGCGCAAACCCTTAATTTACCGTGCGCACTCAATAGTGTAACACGGAGGCATGTTGCCAGAAATCCATCGAAGAGAAAGAAATTTCTTCCTAAACGAACCCCATGACCTATCATTTTTTCCATAAAATTTTTTATCACTTTTTCAATGTTCTGTAAACATTACGATAGAAAATTACGTTAGAAAATTTATGTCAGGAATGGCATTTGTGGTTATCTCTCGTAAAGCAAAGTTTGTGTTGTCGAGATTGTTCACCCGTGGACATACTGGAATCAGTCTTTTGTTCCATATCTTACGCCAAAGCTCAGCTTCCTTTTAATGTGAATCGCACAACGAATGGATGAAATATACATGGGGTGAGAGGTTCAGATGCAAGTGAGTCTCCTCACTATGTGCCATGCAATTCATTAAATGTTGGTTCAGAGAATATGGTATTTGATCGAATAATAATCCCTTAACTGGTATATCTATTGATTCTCATCACTTGTCTGCTTGATCGTACTGAAATTGAAAGGAGAAATTCTGCCTTGGTCACTCATGGGAATTAAAGGGTTAATAGCAAACTTAAGCCTTAGACCTCCTAACCAAGCCTGAAACATTTTCTTTTCGCCTGCGCATCATAGCGAACAAACAGGGAAAGTCAAAATCTTAATTAAAAATCTAATGACAACCCAACAAGAAGCTAAACCGCGAAAATACAGTGTCTATGTGGGCAGTGTTTAATTTAGGCCGCCTTTTTGCGTCAAATTAAACTATTCTGACGCAAAATGAAATGATTGTGGAGTCATACTGACGCAAAAATGTCAGGCGTTCCATGCAATTCCGAGAGAGACTGGAGCCTACTTCGACGTTTTGCTTACATTGCTTTACCGATCGATTTACCCTTTGTTTGCTGACTTTGTTCTTGTGTTTACGTTTCATTATAAAACGACAACAAAAGGTTAGTGTGTTTTTTAAGCAAAAGAAAA